CCCTTGGACTGCAAGGAGATCCAACCAGTCCATCCTAAAGGAGATCAGTCCTGGGTGTTCATTGGAAGGACTGATGTTGAAGCTGAAACTCCAATACTTTGGCCACCTGATGTGAAGAACTGACTCATTGGAAAAGACCCTGATGCTGGGAAAGATTAAGGGCGGGAGGAGAAGGGGGTGACAGAGGATGAGATGGTTGGATGGCATCACTGACTCAATGGACATGAATCTGAGTAAACTCCGGGAGTTGATGACGGACAGGGAGGCCTGGCATGCTGCAGTCCATGGGGTCGCAGAGAGCTGGACACAACTGAGCAACTGAACTGAACTGATAGCTTATTACAAGATAACAGATTTAATTCCCTGTTACTTATGAGTAAATACATTCCTTGTAACAACCACTCAAAGGTTTATTTAATCTATCCGGCAATAATTGGCTAGCATTTATTAGAAAAAAAAGTTTCTACTGTATATCTTTGTATCTAGAAAAAGAAATGTAACTCTTAGACATATAAGTGCCTAAGTCCAATTATATGGAACTGATAAAAGGAAATGCCAAAAAGTAATAGAAAATAATTTTCTAAGGGACAGTGAGATACTGGATGGTGTTTATAGTTGTCTGGGAAAAAAATGATGGTAGTTAACAACAACAAAGCATCATGACTTTAAGAAACAGAAGTGGTTTGTCATCTGAGACTTTAGGATGGGAGACACTGGAACCTCCGTCAGCAGTGCTCGAGTCTGGCTGTGCTTTGCTTGTGTGGCTTTTTTATTGTCCTGTCTTCTCCTTCCTATTAGCTTTGTCCCAGAAATAAGGGTGCTTGATAAACCTGTGCTGTCCCTGGTCACTCAGTCATATATATCCGACTGTTTGTGACCCCATGGACTGTAGCCTGCTAAGCTCCTCTGTCCACGGGGATTCTCCAGGATAGAATACTGGAGTGGGTTGTCATGCCCTCCTTCAGGGGATCTTCCCGACCCAGGGATTGAACCCAGGTCTCCCGCGATGCAGGCAGATTCTTTACCGCCTGAGCCACCAGGGGAGACGGATAAATAAAGACTGCTCCTCTTGGAGAGAGATGACAAAACGTAGGCGACATGGCCTGCTTCTCCCGTGGCCCATTTTACACAAATCAGAAGGAGGGCTGGCACTGACGCGCCTGTTAGATGGTCTTACAGAGTGACGATACCACTGAGCCAACATGAGCTCCTGGTGGCATACACAGTCTGGCAATGTGCACATGTGAAATATTTACAGTTGGCAACAACATACTTCAATTTATAGTCTGTAGAACAGTGTGTTCGTCTCTGGAAGTCTTATGATGTTTAATGATAAACAGTTTTCCACTTACTTTTCTGATGATATTAAACTTTTCCAGGAACTATAAATGGCAATAAAAATAAACTCAATAAATATATCTTGAGTGATGAAAACAAGAGATTTTAAGAAAGTAGGATTTGATAACAGTTTTGAGAATGAAATGGTTTGTCTTACATTAATCCTAGAACAAAGAACATGAGATCACATGTTCTAATGATGAGCTTCATGTAAGACACAAACCTGGTTACATACAGAGACGTCCCATCACTTCGCATGACAGTACAAAGTGCAGAGGGGTCACCATTGCCTGAAAGGTCTACTACAGCAGTGCCTTTTCTAGAAAATGCAGAAAAAGGTAAGTCTGAAACAACATAACGAATTAAGACCTTTAACAATACAGTATCTTATCTTCAGCAAACCGGAAGCTATTTTTATTCCTTAGGTAGCAATAAGCAGTATAACCAACAATGAAGAAAAACAGGAGGCAATCTGCACTTGAATGACTATTAAGAGTAGGTATTTGGTTTAACATTTACTTATCTTTTTAAATTATGTAGCTTTGGATGACGTAACTTAACTGTTGAACATACTGAGTTGAAAACAAGATTTCAACTACAGTTTAACCATGAAACATGTTCTTCAAATCCAAGTTATTGTAACATTCAATATTGGGTTAGTTTTTAACATGCAGGAGTAACTATGAGTAATAAAATAACCAAATTTTGTTACTGTCTTTCCTGCCCAATCAAAAATTAGAATCTGTATATGGCGATCTAAAAATTTTCATTAAGGACACTATTGAGGATGCTGTGAACCATATCCTCTTGTCTTTCTTAAGAGGATGCTGAGAGAAGCTGCTCTTTGGTGCTATGAAAAATGGTACATCTAAGCAACTGGTTTGCTTCTGTGTTACGCACTCTGGGGCTCCTATGAAGGTACCACTTCTCTGGCTGATGAGCTCAAAACTAAATTAGGAACCTACGGTAAGCAAAGAAGCGGAATTCCAGTGTATGTCTCATGATGTACTAATATCATTCCTGACTTCCTATTATTTTTTCTGCTCCTGCTTCTTGATTTCCTCATTTTACTCTTTCAAAAGTTTTGGGTTGTATTATAGATATTTTCAGAAGCTGTTTTAAATCTGTTAGAACAGGATGGGATCTTTTTAAAGAGGCAGGGTTGAGTATGAAAGATTTCTAGTTCCCTATTCCAGTTACACCATTATCAGTTTGTGTGAGCTTAGATCACTTTACACTTTCTGGGCTTGCTTCCTCATATGTGAAGACAAGGTAACAGTCTTCCTCCCAAGCTTACCAGGATTTTGCTAAGGCAGCACAAAACAGCATGTGGGAAACTAGTCTGAACGGCAGAAAGCATAACAATGCCAGGAAGGCCGCACACAAACTGCGGTCTTTACTGAGAGAATACATCAATACTAACTTCAAAGAATACAAAGAACTTTCTAGAGAACAGAAACCTGATCATACAGTGTTTTCTGCAGGAGTCCTTTACTGTCCAGCAACTTCAAGACTTCTTGAGATTTTTCACGATAAAACGATTCTCCTGAATATTCATCAAAGTGTACTCCTAGACGCTAAGAGGGTTCAGAAACAAAAGGAAAGAGTTACTTACAAGTCCTATTATCTTACCCTAAGACAAAATAGGCTGCTCCACAGTCTGTCACACAGATGGGGAAAATAAGAACTAAATCAAGTCACTCTGGCACCCCGCCCTTCTCGTGGCCCCCCCCGTACCAGTCAAGCCCCCAGCAGTGGTACTGTGCTGTTCCGTAGGGGAGCTACTAGGCACCTGTGGTTATTCAAATGCACATGAAAGAAAAGTGAATATTTAGTTCTCAGTCAGACTACTCACACCAAAGTGTGAGCCCTTGGAAGCACTCAACGGCCACGCGCAGCAGGAGGCCGCCATGTTGGACAGCACAGGTGTGGCATTTGCACTGGACAGGCCTGAACATGTCCCGTCTCCGGCCCTACCCTACGACCCCGGGCCCTGCTCCCGCTGTCCTTCACCTCGCCTGGACAGGCCTGAACACGTCCCGTCTCCGCCCCACTCTACGACCCTGGGCCCTGCTCCCGCTGTCCTTCACCTCACCTGGACAGGCCTGAACACGTCCCGTCTCCGGCCCCACTCTACGACCGTGGGCCCTGCTCCCGCTGTCCTTCACCTCGGTCCTGACTCCAGCCATGTGGGTTCTTTGCTGAAACCCTGCTCAGGCGGCCCACCTGATCCTCCCTCCTCTGTTTCACTTTTCTTCACGCACGCATCACCACTGAACACACTGTCACGTTCTTGTTTAATCTGTACTGCCTTGAATTTGTTTAATTTGCTGTGTCCATATTAGAATGTAAAGTCCATGAGAAAAGAATTTATGTATGTCTTTTACTAACTGTTGTTATTTCTCCCATTCCCAACATGTTATTAGATCAACAAATTTATAGCCATCACATATATCCCTAAGGAAGCAAGAGAAGAAACAATGGTTAGGAAAAAGCGAAGGGACGATAGAGGAAAAGAAATGCCAGACTGAAGCGAAGCATCAGGACATCACTTCACATTCAGCCTGTGAAGTTCATTCTTTAAATTTACTTCATAGCCCTAACTTTCAGCCCAAAGAACAGGATGTGAGTCCCAACTACCAGCTCTGTGACAGACAACAAATCTGAGCTTCAGAAGCAAGCTTTGCAGCCAGGAGCGCCAGCTAAGCGCCCTGTCGCATGAGCGGGCAGCGGGAGAGCGCGGGCACCTTGTAGATCCGCACGTACTCCTCGATGCTCAGGTCCCGGAACTTCTGCCACAGTGCAAGTGCCTGCACGTCGCCGAGCTCCAGTCGCTGGAAGAATTCATGTGCTGATTTTGCTACGTTCTTATCATCTGCTGCTTCTTTATTAACTTGCACATAAACCTAAAGGCACCATAGTACATTAGATGAAGTATACTATGAGTCACTGTTATCTTCAAAACAGAAAAGAAGAAAACAAAACAATCCTGAGAATTTATTTAAAGGTTACGTAAGTGCCCTTCTCATGAGTATAACCGTTTCTTCTTTTTTTTTTTGCTATGGATCCTTAGTGAGCCCTACCAACCCCTTCTCAAAATGCATAAAGTGAAATACACAAGATTATACAATACAGGAAATACACTGAAATATAAATGTTCAAAATATTTTAAAATATCTGTGATATAGTAACAGAGGAAAACATTAAATTTCTGACTGAGGTTAATGAAAATAATGCGTAATTTTCTTCTTCTGATCCCAGTTCACATACTGCTAGGTCAAGAATGCCTTGTTTAGACTAAGGTAGCATTTCTTCTTAAAAAAAAAGTGAAATTATTATTGCTGCAACTTCTCTGAGAAAAGGCTGAAGACAATAGATTAGTTCGATCTGGGAAAGAAAAGGCCAAAGGATGATTTCGCAGTTATTTTAATGAAAAACATTTTAAAGTCTTCTCTAAATCTGCAAAGCCCAGGAAAAAAAAAAACCAACCGAAACCCAACCGGTTGTTTTGGGAGGCGTTTTGGGCCGTTTGGTTTATTTTTCTTCCAGTTTGGGTTCCGGGGACCGTTGGGAGGCTTTCCTTTCGGCCTGTTTTTGCCGGTTTGTTCTTGGTTGGTTCGGTTTTGCCCCCCCCGGGGTTGGGATTGCGGGCGGTTGGTTCTTTAGGGGTTTTTCCGTGGTTGGGTTTTGTGTTCACAGAATCATGTTCCAGTCTCTAAAACACGAGGTTGATAACTGACGTAAAAATACCAACAACACAGCTCAAGTAATGCTGAAGTGCTGCAACACGGATGATAAAGATTTCACTTACAAGCTGTAACTCACTTCCAGGGTGAAACGTGAGCACTAAATTTACTATCCTCATATTTTTTCCAGCAAGCTATTAAAGTAGCATGATATAAAAAAAAGTTGGCAAATAAACTACCAAAAAATATGAGACCTCTAAACCCTTACATACCCTTAAAATATCATGGTGGCAGCACGTAGGTAGAAAAAGCGATTTTACTGCTGGAGAATACTTTAGGACAAGCATAATGTGGCTTATGGCCTCCCAGGTGGCTTGACGGTAAAGAATCCACCTGCCAATGCTGGAGATGCAGGTTCAAATCCTGGGTTGGGAAGATTTCCTGGAGAAGTGAAAGGCAACCTGCTCTAGTCTTCTTGCTTGGGAAATCCCATGGACAGAGGAACCTGGCGGGTTACAGTCCATGGGGTCGCAGAGAGACGGACATGACTTAGAGACTAAACAATGTGGCTCACACCCACTGGATACTACTAACAAAAGGAACAGGGTATTAAACATTTACCTCAAGCTAAAAAGGTCTCATCTTTCATAGCTGGCTCATGTTGATTACTGGGATTGCAAAAGTGAGCAAGTAAGTGCTTTCAAATAAAGGTGGTGGTTGTTTAGTCGCTAAGTTGTGTCCAACTCTGAAAAGAGTTAATAACACAGCTGGTCTAGAAACTGCTATCCTTAAAATGTGTTGTCTGCAAGGTTAACTCTTGGCTGCCATCTGGGGAACTTGAATTTTGAGAATGCTCCTACCAATCTAACCAGCAAGAGTGGGTCACAGTGCCTCTAAACTGCTTGTGCAAACAATATGATTTACGCTAATCATCTGCTTTTCTTCCAGGAGTTTGGAATTTTAGTACCAAGCTACACAGAGGGCGGCTACATAATCAGCCTCCAAATGAGCTTCCCTGGTAGACAACATTTCACACAGGCTGTCACAATTTGTTGTAGGAGGAATTAAATATGTCCTGGGTGACTCTATCAGCAAAGGACTTGGAGACTTGGGCCTGATCTCCTCTGGACTTGCCCCCACGGGCCTTTTCCCTTTGCTGGTTTTGTTTGGCATCTTTCTGCTATAACAGATCTTAGCTGTGAGTTCAACCATATGCTGAGTGCTGTGAATCCTTCTAGTGAATCTTTAACTTGAGGGTGGTTTGGGGAGATCTGATATCTATCATAAAGAATTAATTTCTACATGGTTCTATGAATAAGTCAGTTAGAACACTGAGAAAGAAGATTTTTGGTAAGGTGGAGGAAAAAGAGACTCACTGCAAAATAGTAATCTGCAGATTTCCTGACCTTTGAATGATCTATCCAATGACAACTGTTTAACAGTCCAGCCTGCAGAAGTAAAGGCATACATATATCTATAAATGGCTTGTTATTCAAAACTAATATCTGCACCCTCCCTCTGTCTCTCTGCCCCTCTTCTCTCCACCTCTCTCTCACATACACGTGTGTGGGGTGTGTGTGTGTGCATGCACATTTGTATATTTAGAAGTAAATATACAAAAAAACCCCTTATTTTCAGAAGAGGGAAAGTATTAGATTTTTTAAAAAATCTAGAATCCTAAACTCAAACAGTCAAACCTTAAAAAATCTAATATACACCCAAAATACTGATAAGAATATTTTAGGAAAAACATCACCAGAATCTTTTTCTCCCTTTCTTAAAATTTAAAATAGAAATAATTAAAACAAAAAGCCATTCCTAATTCATGAAGACAATCTTGGCATTTCAGCAATTTGTAGGGACAAACCAAACATTACTGAGAATCAACTAACACTATCAAACAGACTAGAAGAGCCTAATTAGCATTTAACAATCTGCCTGTAAATGTACTATATAAAACTATTAACATTCATTAGCATATTAGAAAAGAAATACTTTTCCTTCAAAGTAAATTTTATACAATGCATTTCTGAAATTACACTTTTCAATTTACAGTTACTCTGAATCCACTACCCTCAGAAAGTATGTATTCTGAAGACAGCCCCCTTCTGAGGTTAGATCCAGACTCAAAGGGAATAAAAGGAAATTTTAAATTTGCATTTGATAGGTAACAGTGTGGCTGAATAAAAGTGTTTTTGAGGATGGCTAAAGAAAAGTGTTTCTGAGGATGGACAGGCAATTTTTCTTTTAGGTTACTAGAATGCAAAAGCCAGCGGTATTACTAGCTAAGAGAATAAAATAAATGTCTGAGACTTCCTGAAAGGAGTATTAATCATTCCTTCTTCTAAATGTTGGGACTGCCAAAAAGCATGACATTTTATTTCTGATTTAACTGACTAATTATAATCAGCTCCTGGGATGATCTGCCCAAACGAAAGAAGAAAGTGTGAAGAATTAAGCAGCAGACAGCGCTCTCACTCCCCGCTCAGTCCTTACACTTGATCCCAGAACACAGGGGCCGCGTCCGCCCGCCGAACTCCTTGATGCAGGGCTCTGACCCCGCTGCGTATTCTTGTTTTAAAACTGAACGTAACTGCTAAGGATGGTGAGCGCAATTGACACTAAAGAGTCTTTTATCTCATTATCTGTTTGCCCTCTATCTTAAAATGCATTTAATTTTGATCTCATATTTTAGAAAATAACATGTAACAAATTCCTGACTATAATTCAAACAAGCTTTTTTAATGTTTCATGTATTGATCAGAAATTTCTCTGGTTGAGACCAATTCCTAATATTAAATGAAATATCAAAGAAATTCAAATTCATGTTACTATAATTTAATATATTAGTTAATAAAAGTCAAAACTTCCTAGGTAAAAAAAGATAGTTTGATGTAACTAATGTATTAATGACCAAACTTCTCCTCATTAGAACATCATTGGCAGCATATAACTGGAGAAGGAAATGGCAGCCCACTCCAGCGTTCTTGCCTGGAGAATGCCAGGAACAGAGGAGCCTGGTGGGCTGCGGTCTACGGGGTCGCACAGAGTCAGACACGACTGAAGCGACTTAGCAGCAGCAGCAGCATACAAACAGCATTTTACCATCCCTTTATCTTCTTTGCATGTTAGGAATTTCTGATTTTTATTCTCTGTGCATGTATAATTACACTCATGATATCTTAACACCTGTATCAAAGGGTGACAGTTACTGCTTTGCTGTGGATCGCCATGCACATGCCTAATAAATACTGTTCTCTGCTGAAAAACCTGTTCTTCCCACGTTTCAGGGGGTGAGATGATGACTGAGCTCTCACCATGCAGTCTGGCCTTGCTCGGTGTTTCCATTCCTGTTCTAAGGACACCCAGAGAACAATGGGACGCTATAGTGCTGTCCGAGGGAAGAGGGTGAGGGAGAAAGCATGTGGCCTCGGGGAAGGCAAGTCCTGAGCAACGGTGACACGGAGGAGCTGCCAGGAGAGAGGGCAGAACTGCGGAGAGTGAGCAGGGCCTGCGGGAAAGACTCCCGGGGGCAGCACAGGCTGGGCAGGCGCTCCCGGGGCAGCGGTCCACAGGGTCCCCGCTCCTGGACGCTGGTCTCAGCCTGCGGACCTCAGACCCAGCGGGACCTCCCAGGGGCAGTCTGTCACACAAGCAGAGCTGGGCGCCTCCAGGGCATCACGGAGGCTCGGATCCGGGCATGTCGGTCAAGAGTAGTGTGGACTGAAGCCAAGAGGAGGTCCCAAGAGCTCCCTCGGGATGAACACAAGAGCCTCTGTGTGACCTGGGAGGTGGGGAATCCCTCACTTGCTGGCTCCCACCACTCTCAAAAATGATGGTTGGGTTCAGACTCAGGTTTATAATTTAAAAGCTACTTCTTGTAGACGTTGTAACAAGTAAAATCCATCTCAATCACAACAATCATTTTCCCCGAAAAAAAGTAATGTGGATTAAACCAACAGATTACGTTTGAATTCAATTCTTTAAACAATATGAACTGTTAACTGCATATATAATCCTATATATGTCTAGAATTGATTTAACATTGATTTACTTTGAGAAATTGTTTTGAGATTCTAAAGTCAGAAAAAAAAACATGGTGTTTGATTTTAAAAAATGGGAGCAAGTAAACATTATCACTTATTAAATTGGTGCTTTGGTCCTGCCCTATCTTCTTTTTATTATTTTGCTACTGATATCGGGAACTCAGGGTAAAATCTCTTACATATACATTACCTAGTAATACATTATCTCCAACTTTCTATGTTTTTCTGTTAAATGCCCATCACTGTGGTTACCTCACATCCTTCAGAAAAGGGGAAGGGTGAAAACAATGAAATGCCTTTGGGGCCACTCTGCCCTGTACGCGCCACTGCTTGGGGACCTCCCTGGCGTTCAGCGCGAGCACTCGGCCCTCTCCTGGCTGGTGCCCAGCTTTGCTCCCTGATCAGTGAACTAAGATCCCACAAACTGTGCGGCAGGACCAAAGGGGCAAAAAAAAAAAAAAAAAGAGCCAGTGATAGGGTACAAGGCTAATGCATACTGTACTGGCATATTTACTCTTAGGGGAGGCTGCTCATATTTCAGAGGGATCTCTATAGTTCTCAAAATACAATCAATATGCAACATCAACGAGTGAAGCTCTAAAACCTTCTGTAGCAAAAAACAAACAAACAAAAAAGCCACCAAACCAAAAAACCGAAAACAGAAAAAAGTGAATGGGTTCTATGTTCTTAAAGGTACAGAGCTGGCTTTTATTAAGGTCCATTCAAGTAACTTAAATCTAGGAGGAACTCTGAGAAATTACTTTTAAAAATTATTAAAACTGAGTAAATGATGACCCCCATATATCTATGATTTACATTTAACATTATTAACATTGTAGGAACTATTTCTTTTATGTTAGTGGGAAGGCTTTTTGAAAACTATTCCAAAACTTACTACCAATGTTTTCTTTGAATCAATAGTGTGAATTTTAAACAGCAAATATATTATTTAACTCATCAGCCAATTTGGGGGAGGGGAGGAACTATTAAAAGCCACTTTTCTGTTTCGTGAAAAATTAGTAGAACAAATGAAAAGGAAAGGTTTCAAATGCTGGTTAAAAAAAAGCCCTAGGTCAATGCACAGCATGGCCAGACGTCCTGGTCGGAGAACGACTGTAGGTGCAGAGAACGACATTTCCAAGAGCGAAGCACAAGCGTGGAAATGCAGCAAAGCAGTGACTGGACTAAATATTCTCATCACAGAGAGCAAGCGCTGAAACTGTGAAATGATATCTAACCCGGCTAAGAAACTGAGACTGCGGGGATACTGGTCATGGTGTAGACTAGAGGCGCCCAGGCCACGAAATCTGCTCCTGGATGGCCAAAGCCAAACTCAAAACAAATACGCCAGAAGACTCAAAGTGTGAAAGCTAAACTACTAATTGTGCCTGGGGTACAGCAATTTAACTCTGAAAGAAAGGAAAATACTTTGTAAATGATCACAGCCAGCGGGAAGGACTGGCCCAGAAAGGCCCTCTGCAGGCCAGTGGTGGGGCGAGGCAGTGCAGCGCGCGGAACGCTCTGCAGCAAAGCCGCCTGTGCTGGGTTCCTGGGCTCGGCCCTCGGGGGCTTCACCAGCAGACTGCATAGTAAGTCAGACTTTGGACAAATGCTAAATAGTGAATCCTATGATAGCCCTTCCTTGGAGCTTTACAAAAGGTTTCTTTATGCCATAACTTAAACAGAAGAGGCAAATTCATTCAAGCATTTACTGTAAGGCACGGTGTCTGAGGCTGCAGATAAAAGACCAAGAAGATAGATCCTTCCTCTAAAAGAGCGCCATCTGTAACTTGAGAAGGAAAAAAAAATGGGTTTGACCAAGGTTCAGGTTTTCTGTTTAGAAACAGGACAAAATCATTAACATTTGCTTACCACTCAAAAAGGGACAAACTTTCTCATTTATATTAAAAGCTGTTGCTGGAAGTAACCTACAGTGACAACTACAATTTTAAAATAAAACTGGGTGTGCAAAAACAGCGCAAAGATAAGATAACCTAGAGTCTGCCATACTAGGCTCTGCGTTTCCCTCCATTCAGCAAGGGGAGGAGGCAGAGAGCAGCTAAGTGCTCTAATGGATCGCTGTCTCCCATCTCAAACAGCAAGGTGGGTGCGTTTGACTAGCGCTCTTTTGTCTACAAATACTGCTCCTCTAAGAGGCTGCTAGGGCTTCCCAGGTAGTTCAGTGGTAAAGAATCACCTGCCAAGCAGGAGACACAGGTTCGATCCTTGGGTTGAAAAGATCTCCTGGAGAAGGAAATGACAACCCACTCCAGTAATCTTGCCCAGAAAACCCCATGGGCAGAGCAGTTTGGCAGGTTACAGTCCATGGGGTCACAAAAGAGTCAGACATGACTTAGCAACTAGAACACCACCAGCATGAAGCTATTAGGCAAAAGAACACTTAATGAAAGCAATACTACTGTGCCTTGAGTTTTTTGTTATTCATTAAAGTACCCCCTTCGTCTGTTCCTTATGTGTGTCTGTCAATCAACAATCTCTAATACAGACGTCTGAAAACCCTCTTTTTATGAGTCTCAAGAGGCAGGAAACTGTATTAAACTGCATAGAATAAAATGTATGTTTAGGTTGCCAGAGAGTTTAAGAACAAATTTCACTACAATATTTTAAACATATGGGCAAAAAATATTTACTACTATCAGGATTAAATTAAAAACTTCTGAGATTGGGTGGGAGAAAATGCAAGGAGTAACTCTCATATGTCAAAATGTAGTCTAAATTCTTAAAGAATGTTCTTTGAACAACACAAGGTCTCCAAGTGGTTTCTTGCATTTCCTGCACTGTGGGTTTGTCTCTGGGGCCTGGATCTGATGAAAGGTTCACTAAGCTCATGGTAAAAGTACTCATGATTATTCATAGTTTTAGAAAATAATACAGTAAAATGCCAGGCACTAAGGCAGCACACTTTATTGACAACCACACAGATTTACTAATTTTTAAACTCTCACCTATCCATAAAACTCTCAGTGGGAAAGAGGGGGGAGAAATCTTTTGGTTAACAGTATAAACCAGATGGCTCAGATGGTAAAATATCTTCCTGCCATGCAGGAGACTTGGGTTCCATCTCTAGGTCGGGAAGAGCCCCTGGAGAAGGGAATGGCAACCCACTTCGGTCTTCTCGCCTGGAGAATCCCATGGACAGAGCAGTGCATGGGCTCACAGAGTGCGACACGACGGAGTGACTAACACGTGCACTTTCATAAATCAAAACACAGGCATTTAAAATGCAAGTGAAGGTACAGACTCAGGAGGAAATCACAAACGCTAAAGATCTTTAAGAATCAGATGTGCTTTGTTAAATTTAACTACTGAATAATGTAACGAAAGTGACAACGAGGCGCTCTCTGGCTGCGGCTGAGGGGGGGGAGTGCTGCTGGGCGAGCGCGCCTCCTCACACACAGCCTCAGTCCGGCCCCGCATGTCACCGGAGTGGCTGGCAGGGTCTGTGCTCCTTGTCAGGCCCAGAGCCAGCAACTGGGACAATGAAAAGGAAACACACTCCTGGAGACCAATTGGACAGGAAGAGCTTTACTAATGAGCTGCAGGAAGAACTGAGGACAGAAAAGCAGTGTCCAAGGGAGTAAACGAGGTAGAACAGAAAGACACGCACATTGGGCAAACACCAGGAAAAGGAGCTGAAAGACAAATGAAAAAGGACGCACAATCTGGAGAAATACATGGGCCTTCCCTCTACAACAGAACAAGAGCAAAAACGTACATGCTCATGTTTTCTCAAGTCTGAATGATTTACAGTTATTAGGGCGAAGGAAGCTGCAGTACATAACAACAAATAAAAGACCAACAGAATTCTCTGCTCAACCTGATATTCTGTGTGTTTATGCCAAGATTCTATACCTGAATAAGTGCTGTCCCAAATCAACTAAGATAGTAATACAAGAAATATTTGGATAAGAAAATTAAAGTCAGTTCTTAGTAAAATATAAGTAATCTTTTCCATAGTTTTGGGTCCTTGCTTTAAGGGACAGTTTTGTTGCTGTTGTTTTCTAAAGCCCCTGGGACTAAAAACGTGTTACCAAGCTGCACGGCACTCTGAAAAAAGATGCAGCATTTCATGATTTTTTTTTCGCCAACTTACTTCAAAGAGATGCTGTAAAGGGCTGGACTGGAGTTTTTCTTCATAGCCAAACAGCTGGAAGCCAGCTCCCAGAAGACCTGCCACAATAATCCAAAAATGAGAAAATTAAAAAATGGAACAGTGCAGAACAGTCATGCCAGGGAACAGGTATGCATCCTAAGGATATTGCAAAACACACACTATCATGTCCTGCTACTCCATAAACTGGCACAAGTCAAATTCAGTATATTGAATCACAAATTCGGTATATATAGAAGGGCCCACTGAAATTAATTTCACAGAAACCAAAAGACTGTGAGCTCAAAGGCAGAGTCCGGGACTGTCTTATCTTTGTGCTGACAGTGCCCAGCACCCACCTCCCTACAAGGTCTCAGTGAACCAGGCGTTGACTGAGCAACTGCTCTGCAGAAAGACATGCGCTACCAGGCCCAGACACACTAGACACTCAGCCTGTGAAAAGACGAAGATGGGGAGTGAGTTCAGATGCCTCTTAAAATTTGTAGATGTGAAAATAAAGACAGGAATCAGATTAGTGTTACAGTTATTAGTTCTCAAATAACTGAAAGTAAAACTCTGATCACTCTTTTCATTCAAGGTGACAAAATGCTTTTACCTTGCTATACATTTGTCTTTCACTTGCCATTGTTTTGTTTAAGTTTTTGGTTTTTTTTAGTCTTTTGTAAGTTCAAAATTCAGAGATGGTATTAATTTGAACTTTTAAAAAAATAATAGTTGAGGTTTGAAAATGACAATGAAAATTCTTAGTACAGACTGTGAATATTTATATTCTTAAGATATTTTGCTAAAAGGTGACGACAATTTTAGATTTGAAGGATATATGTAGCTTGGGCCAAGAGTAGTTATAGGTAGTACAATTTTAAAAAACGAATATGTTTCTATGTCAGTTATCTAGCCTCAGATCTGAAGAAGCTGTTGCTGCTGGGCCTTGCTGATGTACGTTTTTCTATACAGGCTCAGCAGAAAGCGGAATGTTACAAACAGAGGGTGGGTAATCTTTGGAGCTTAGACAGGAACTAGAAGGATGACTAAAATAAGTACCAGCACCATTCACTTTTAAGCAAAAGCAAATGTGATCATGATTCAGGGTCCTGAAAGCTGGGTGTAAAAAGACACCCAAAGCATTCTTAAAAATAGAGACAGGAAAAGTAAAGGCCAATTCTATTTGACATTCAAGCTAATACATTTTCAAAAACTAATTCTGTACTTAAGAACTGTCAGCCAACTTTTAATATGGGATAGGTGAACAGCCAAAATTAACTCTTTAACAATGATGGTTTGATGGAAATGTTGCCAGATCATTAACCATAGCAGTCCTTTAGAGAAAAACCACTACACTAAAACGCTGCAGCTAAAATTTAATGAATATCATAATCACATATCTGCTAATGGCTGTGAAGTGCCTGAATCAGAAAAACTCATATAAAGTGGATGCCATCTATTAAATCTGACTGTTGGGCTTAGAGCCCAGAACTCTGAGTGCCCACTGTGAGCTGCAGGTGGGTGTTTTAAAGGCAAGGCATGTTTTCTGTTCCTCCACAATGAATAGTAAGGGCACTGTTAGGTTCAAGTTCTATCCTTTTTAGTGTCTAAAAAAGATTTTTATTAACTGAGAGGATAACATTCGTAAGAGAAGATCATGATAAATTATCTTTCAGAAACTTTGATTTCATTTCAGTAGACATGAAACATGGTATTTAGTATTGAAAACGTTACCAAGCCTTTCTTTTGGAATAGACTGTGAAAGACTTCCCAAAACAGATTCTTTCATCATTCTGAGTGCCTATTATGTGCCAAGCACGATGGATACAAGAATAACTAAGACATAGCCCATGCTTTCATGGAACATTTCACCTAGCAGGGGAGAGCAGCTCACAAAAGAACAGTCACAGAAAAGCCCATTTGGGTAGAGCTGGATGCTAGGAACTCGGTGATGTCAGAAGGTGGACAAGGGTGTGTCGGGTCAGAGAACGCTTTTCCGAGCTGACACAGGGGCTGGATCTTACAACGCACACGGCAGCTGCCAGAGACTGTAATGAGGACTTTGCATTTCACATGCTCCTAGTCCTTCCCTACCACATCAGCTTCATCATCTTGTCATCCCACACCTTGATTACTGCAGTATATGAGCTGGGAACAGTTCTCAGTAAACTCATGACATTAGAGATAACCTGTGGCATTCAACTGTTTGGGCTTCACTCGTTTCTTCCTCTCTTTTCATTCTGACCAATCGCCCACCCCATGACTTGTATAATTTAAGGGGAAGCCAAAATATCCCAGTTTGTTTTTCCTCTAGGCCACTGGCTCAGGGTATGACAAATCCCATTTCCTATAGGTTGACCCAGGGAGGCTGTTGAGAAGGTGTATACCTAGTCTTACTTTTCCCCTAATACTTAGTACATCGACATTTAACTAATGAATGTAAGCTACTTTAATAAAACCACAAAAGTTTATATTTTTCAGGGCTTTTTCTGTATATATGAAGTTTCCTTTCCCCAAAACTTACTTGTATGATAAGAATTATTCTAATAAGTAAAATACAAGATTTATGGAAAAGAGCCATCAGGAAAAAAAAAAAAGGTAGGAGGCACTACTTCATCCAATGGGAGTTGGCCCATATTTTGCCCAGATGATCAAGTAACGTGATATTAAGACAAATTAAACTTAACAATGATGTGAAAAATAAAACCTTGAACTTACTTACCAAACTGCATGCCCCAATCTCCAAGATAATTTATTCTTGTTACTTGATGTCCTAAAGCTTCTTTGAGATTTGCTATAAAATTTCCTAGTAATGAATAAAATACATAATTTCTCATTCTTATATGTTTTGGCATAAGAACCATATAATATCAAAGCATAACAGAAAATTCTCTTGACAAAATTTACTAATTTTTTTAAAAAACAAAAACATTGATTATTGTGTTTTCATCTATAATATGGAAAAGGAGAAAAAATTATTTTGGAGGATGTTATTCTAAATCTCACAATTTTCATCAACATTAATGGAGGTTATGAATACATAGAGTAATGGTGATTCCAAGTCAATTCCAAGGACAGTAAATAACAGAATCTCAGTAATTAACAAAGAATATATAATTTGGGTGTTCCCTAAAGAACTCAGGCATATGGATTTTTTTCTAAGTAGCTCGCTCCACCTCCTTTCAATTATGAAGTCCAGCCTCTCATGCTGCTCCCCAAATAACGGCACACAGGACTCCAAGGCCTCCACCCTTCTTACTGCTGATGCAGGCCTGGCCTCTGACATCTACTGTTCTGCACATACTGCAGAGGCTGGGAGGCTGAAAGTCACAGACCCCAGAACCTCTCGCAGTGAGGGTTCCAGAAGTCATGGGCAACTGGGTCCACTTCCTTTGTGATGGTGAGCAGCGAGTGACCTTTACTTTTTCTGAAAAGCACAGTGGTGCAGCCTCTGACTCAGTAGCGTCACTTCTGGAGATCCTAGTGTCTTGTCACACAACTTCCAAGGGAAGTGAAAGATAGGATGGGGTGACCTCTTTTGCTTCTCTGAATTCTCGAAGGTACAATAAACCAGGAATAATGGCAGGTTCCTGACTCTGGCAGCGGCAGTAATCGAAGAAAAGGCAGAAGCTCCCTTGATGGTGAAGTTCTCTGGTAGTTTTGGGCATCATCTATGTCAGCTTAACCCAAGGAGTCTTTAGCACTCCCAACAACTCTGCAAGCTATTCAACATCCCACTGTAAACTCCCTCCTGCTTTTATTAGAGATCGAGTTTTCTGCAAATAACCAAAGGGCATAGCTGAAAATTACAGTAGCTCCTTCTCCAGTCTCCCTACTTCTAGACTTCCCCAAACTACACAGTCCCAGCAGCAGAATTCACCTTTTGCAGCTGGCACTCAGACTGCACCCCCAGTTTTCTGTGGTCCCTTATTCTCTCCTGTGTGTGCTCAGTCATTCAATTAAGTCCAAGTCACTGCAATGCCGTGGACCGTAGCCCGCCAGACTCCTCTGTCCATGGGGACTCTCCAGGCAAGAACACTGGAGTCACCATGGACCGGAGCCCGCCAGGCTCCTCTGTCCATATGGGGACTCTCCAGGCAAGAACACTGGAGTCACCATGGACCGTAGCCCGCCAGGCTCCTCTGTCCATGGGGACTCTCCAGGCAAGAACACTGGAGTAGGTTGCCATGCCCTCCTCCAGGGATCTTCCCAACCCAGGTCTCCAGCACTGCAGACAGATTCTTTACCATCTGATCCACCAGGGAAGCCCATGAACACTAGGGTGGATAGCCTATCCCTTCTCCAGGGGATCTTGCTGACCCAGGAATCGAACTGGGGTCTCCTGCATAGCAGGCAGATTCTTTACCAGCTAAGCTACCAGGGAAACACCTATTAGCTTATAAATCCAACTAAATGCCTGAACCTAGGCTTTCAGAATTAGGCCGCCTGATTTCAAATCCTTGCTGCTATACTTTACTAGCTTTGTGATTTGGGGAAAGTTACTTTTGGTGTCTGAGTTTCCTCATCTGTAACCAACAGGACTTACTAATCAGGGCTACTGTGAAACTAGTTCAGATAACACATGAAAACACTTAACATAGTAAGTTTCAGTAAATATTCTCTCTTCCTGGTTCAAGCATGTCCCTTAACAACTGTCAAACAAGTTTAACATGCTTTACCCATCAATTACTCCTATGCTTTTGACTTATGTAGCTTTTCTTACACAGTATTATTTCTTATATTCTTTTTCGTCAAGTCCTGTCATTTCCTCTCTTATAATGCTGCTTGAGAACTTTTTAACAATGAGAGTTGACTATAGTGCAATATAACCTATTCCACAAATATGGACATTCTCCAAATCTTTAAAGTATTCCAGTATAGATTAAATCACTTTAAGTATGCAAAAGACAGATTTCTATGCTGGAAGACAGATTACATGAGATAAATTCTAAAGTCCCTTCCAATTCTAATATTACACAATTCTAACTGCAGTTTTAAGATGGGCTACTATATAATGTCATGTTTTAAGAGAAATCATATAAGTCTGCTGTACACTCAAACATTACAACCAAGAAGTAATAACAGCAATGTTTGTTAGGAAAGTCCTGTTTCAATTTTCAGTCTTGAAAACTCCAGTTAGTACTCATATGACTCAGACTGAGTTTATTTTTTAAAACAAAATACATGAACAAAAAAACTAGGAGGATGACTATCAATCCCATATAACTGTTTTCATTTATGCATCTTTCAGTTCTTCTTAATACGCGTACATACTTTTAACAAGTTAAAGTCAAAATATACATACCTGGTTTCTGAGTCAATCTTTTGGTTTTGAAACAAATTTCTTTTTGTCATTTTTAAACCAATTTTTTTTCATTTTGGGGTCATATTTAATTAGCATTAAGCTCATATAAACTTCATTTTTTTTTGTTTCTTTGTCCTTTTGCTACTTAAGCATTAAACCATAAGACTATATTACCAAATGCTGCTCCAAAAGTCATGTTCAGTATTTTATGTGAAACTAACAGTACTTACCTATGATGGTAGAACGCAAATGTCCAACGTGAAATTTTTTGGCAACATTAGGTGAACTGCAAGATAATTGTAAAAGTTATTTTTTTCTGTTCTACAAACAAGAGTTCTAAAATGAATTAGGTCATAGCTATAGTTTAATACAATTGTGGACTAAAGCCTTTGGTAATTTTGGACAAAGACAGTCAAAAATTAGACATTTAGAGACTTCCCTGCTGGTACAGTGGATAAGAATCTGCCTGCCAGTGAAGGAGACACAGGTTCGATCCCTAGGCCGGGAAGATTTCACATGCCAAGGAGCAACTAAGCTTATGTACCACAACTACTGAAGCCCATGCGCCTAGAGCCTGGGGTCCCTAACAGGATAAGTTACTGCAATGAAGAGTAGCCCCTGCTCGCCAAGACTAGATAAAGCCCGTGCGCAGCAATGAAGACCCAGTGCCACCAAAAATACATGATTTTTAAAAATTAGACATTTAGAGCAAAGATAAATTAGATCTCAGAAAGAACCATCCTTAGGAAATTGACCCTGTGACTCAAGAGGGAGTCACGTAACATACACAGCAGCAGCACACTTAGCAAGCGGATACAGCAGAGGCGAAAAGACGAAGAAACTCAGAGAGGTTCTTTTGACACAAACAAGGTACGTTATTAGAAATTAAGTTCAGTGCACTGGTTCTCAATTCTTTAATGTCTAAAAATTATTGTGGACCCCAAAGGAATTTTGTTTATATGAGTAGTATCTATCAATATTTATTGTATCAGAAATTAAAACAAAAATATAAAAATATTTATGTGGAAAACTTCCCAGGATAACCAGAAATAGAATTTTACCATTCCAAATTCTCAAGCAACACATCTGCTAACTCTTGGTGTTTGAGAAGATGCAATTAAGATTCAGCAATACCTAATGCTTCTAGAGCACATTCACTCCCCGACAGGCAGTCTGACATACATTACATGCACTGACTCAACAGCCAGAAGAACTGTGGTGTAAGGTACTCTCATCTCTTATTTTTGACGAGAAAATTGAGACACAAAAAGGAAAAAAGATAATGAAGTACATTTGGCAATATCTTCAGGACTCTTGAACCTAGATGATGAGCATATGGAGCTTAATATACATTTTCTCTCTTTTGTGTATGTTTGAAAATTTCCTAAGTTTTTCAATTTAAAAAAAGATATTAACTAGGACACAGCTAGTTAAAAGTGGTAAAAACAAGGGCTTACTTGTGGTCTGTCTCCAAAGCCTTGTTATTTACCTTTTTAAAGGTTATTACAATTTAAAACCTTGATCTGACAGATATCTGTATACAATTGTGAAATTATGAAACTATAAGGAAATTCATGTAATCGTTATTTAGAAAGAAAGCAAATGTTCTTCTATGGGATTGAAAAATAAGTAATCTCCTGCTTCTAATCAAGAGAGAAGACAAGGCTTAGGCTTAATTACCCTTCTGCCTTAAACAACTAGAAAACTAGAAAGATTTATGGAACACTGGTTTTATGACATTGAACAGGACGGTGAAGGACTGTGATCCCCAGGAGAAGGTCAGCCAACAGGGTGACCCTCAGGACTGCCTTACTAGCAAATTCCCAAGGTGTAGCTAAAGCAGACCAATCTATACTGTGACGATGTTTATATCAGAACAGAAGAAAGGTTTCAAATCAATAATTGAAGACTCTCCTTTAAGAAACTAGAAAGGGAGGCTCAAACTAAATCCCAAGTAAGCAGAATAAAAGGGAGTAATACAGATGAAGGTTAAAAAAAAAAAAAAAGAGAAACTGTGATGTACTAACCGGTAGTGGTGGTTATGTGACCTGGCATCTTTGATAAAACTCATTAAACTGCATGTTGAAATACAGTGATCTGCACTGTACCGTATAATTATACCTCAATATAGCTGATTTAAAAAAAAAAACTATAAAAAACTAAAGCTGGCCACGGATGTGCTCATATTAAAGGACTGTAAGATACATTGTTTAATGGAAAAAGGAGAAGAACAATGTATAATGTATATGATCTCTAGGCGGGTAAGCAAGAAACTGACATTGCTGACTGTTTAAGGAAACCAGGAGACTGGGGCAGGGAGGACACTGCCTTCTCACTGCACAGCCTTTTGTCATCTTTGAAGTTTTAAAAACTAAGGTTATTATCTAAGAAAAATATTATCTCATAATACAGTTTATGCATAGCTTTTGCATTTTTAAAAATGCAAAAAAGTATAGTTGATTTACATTGTATGTCTCAGGTGCACAACGGTGAATCACAACCTGTCAAGAAAAAGCTCCATTTAAGGCTGTTATAACATGCTGCCCCGTGGGGCACGATACACCCGTGCCGCTCACTTCAGATGCAGCAGTCTGCAGGTCGCAGCCCCGTCCCTCCCCCTGCAAACCCAAGTTTGTGCTCTGTGTCTCTGCTTGTTTCTTTTCTGTTGTATAGTTAGCTTCATTTTTAGATTTCACCTATAAATAATAACATACGCATTTGTCTTCCTCTGACTTAAGTCCATCTATGCTGTTGCAAATGGTTAAGTTTTCATTCTTTGTTATGGCTGGGTGGTATTCCACACAAACCTCATCTTTATCCATCCATCTGTTGATGGACACTTAGATTATTTCCATATCTTGGCTAGTGTAAATAATGCTGCTGTGAATGCTGGGGTGCATGAATCTTTTTAGTGTTTTTTTTTTCTTCAGATATATACCCAGGAGTGATATTGCTGGATCATATGGTAGTTTTTAGTTTTTTGAGAAACCTCCATATTGTTTTCCACAGTGGCTTTACCAATTTCCATTCTCTCCAACAGTGCACCAGGGTTCCCTTTTCTCACATCTTTGCCAACATTTGTTATTTGTGATCTTTCTAATGATAACCATTCTAATAGGTGTGAGGTGATATCTCATTGTGGTTTTGATTTGCATTTCTCTGATGATTAGCAGTGTTGAACATCTTTTAATGTGCCTGTTGGTTAGAACTTTTGTACTTTTTCTTTAGAATTAGAAGAACAATCTGTCTAGAGCTTCAAAAAACCTCCTTTGAAATATCAATTTGACATTCTCTGGCACCACATTCTTAATCAGAAGGGAATACAATGAAGTGGAAAATACAAATTCAATTCCTTTGGCAACCAAAGTAACTACTACGGATTACAACTTGGATGCTTTACTGGAACTCTGAAGTATTACTTCATGTAATTTCCTCAACCTTGTAAGAAAAGAGATATTATTACTCTTATTTTCCACACCTAAGAGACTAGAGAAATAAACTGCCCCATTCCAGATGACTGAATCAGTTACTAAGTGAAAACTGGTACCCTGATCTCCTGGACTCCCGTCTTCCCAGAGGTCCATTTGTTTTGTGGGTACACTTCTCATGGGGGAACAGCAGCGGGTGGGGAAGAGAAGAATGGCTGCCGCTGCCGGCTGTGCTGTGGAAGATTAGCTCTGAACACACGAGGAAGGGTTGACTCAGGAGAGAGGCGACCGCCGCTGCTGCTTCAGGTCTTACCCTGCCCACCGGGGAGAACCAGAGTCCAAGGCAGACAGCCACCTACCCTGGCCCTTTATCACACTCCTCCTGGGTCTGACAAAACACAGGGAAGCTAACCATAAGTCACTGTGCCAGGGAGGCAGTGAAGTTTAAACATACAGGATTCAGAGTTAGCTCTGTGACTCTGGGCAAGCTCCTTGACCTGGCATCACCATCATCATCTCAATTTTAGGGCCACGTTTCTACTTTTCAAAGATTTCTTTTGATGCAGACCATTTAAAAATTCTTCACTGAACTTGTTACAATACCACTTCTGTTTTATGTTTTGGTATCTTGGCCCCAAGGCGTGTGAGATCCTAGGTTCCCGCCCAGGGACGGAGCCCTCACCCCGCACTGGAAGGACGGCTCTCAAGCACTGGACCACAGGGAGGTCCCTGGGGCGCGTTTCTTGACACAGTGTTTCTATCTCTTCACTCTGGGCTGAAGTCACCCGGTCTATTAAAGATACTGTATATTTCAATAAATTCCCTCTTCTCCCCCCTCTCATTTTCAGAAGAAATTCAGGAAGGATGTTTTCTACCAATTTTTACCCCCTGTCTACCTCTCTGTCTCTCTTTTGAAACCACAGTAAGAATCACAGAATCTGGAATACTTCTAAGGGAGGAAGCAGCTATAGTCCCCCACCAATGCCAGATGAAAAATAACAGAAAGCAGAGATGACTGCTGGGAAATGAACTCTGCTTTCAACAATGATCAGATGCTTATAAAAGTTCCAGCCTTCCTTAACGCCTTTGGGAAAAAGTTGAGAGAGGCAAATCTGTAAGTGAATAAACTGCAGTTCAAAAAGCCTTCAGAATACAACTCAAATGGAACACGCTATTTTTAGACATTTCTTACAAGCATAAACAAAAGTGAGTACTACATGGGAAACAAAAGCTTTGCAGAGAAACCAATGGCGAAGAAAGACTAGTCTTGGTGTTCGATTCTGGCTGGGAGAGCGGTGGTAAAGAGGAAGTGAACATGAAGGTGCACGGGTGGCAAATTTCACAACTGGCGACAGCGCTATTTCAAGGGCGAATGTGCAGTAACAGATACCATACTACTTCCCTACTGATATCCCTTACTGCTGGTTAGGTGAGAGCAAGGAGTGTAAGAGTACTGAAGTGCCTCCCCAGAGAAGGGTACGTACACTGCATCACTGTAAAGACAGAATGAAAAGAATTCAAAGTGTCCACACACTCTTTGCCACTCTTTCATTAAGAGATATAATTGACTTCCCTGCCCGGAGTCAGGGATGATCTTGTGACTTGCTTTGACCAGTGGTGACATAAGTGATGATATACCCATTACAAGACCAGATGTTTTACTATTTTGGAGTCCTGAGCACCTTTGTAAAGAGGTATGGCTACTCTGCTGGAGAGAGACTACAGAGAGATGCCTGGCCAGCCCACAGGTGAGAGAGCAGAAAAGTAAATGAGTCACCTGGATTTCTAGTCCCAGTATAATGTCCAGATGACCAGAGTTGCTTAAGTGACCACAGGCAAGCAAAAAAACCCATTAGGCTATGGTCTCCCCAGTTTCCTGGTCTATACATGAAACATAAAACAACTGTTTGTTGTTTTAAAACACTAATCAGTAGTGTGGCAAACTTTTTCTTAAAGAGCCGGACGGTAAATATTTTAGGCCATCTGGTCTCTATCTCAATTATTTGTCTATTGTACTCAATTGCCATTAGTGTATCAGAGTAGCCACTCTGACAATATGTAAATGAACATCTAAGACTGTATTCCAAACTTACAAAAATACAGCAGGCTGGATTTTGCCCATGAGCTAAAGCTTGCCATTCCCCGCATCAAGTTTTGTAGTGGCTTGTTACGCAAGAGATCACTGAAACTTCAAGCAGCCTTCTTTGGGGGATGGCCTTAGTGTAGCTCCCCTCTGCTGTGAGGATGACTGCTGAGGTCTCTCTGCTCTATCGATGCAACAACAGTTAAACTTTAAACACCCTGACTGGAGCACACTGGTGGCGCAAGATTTATTCCTAATTTGTACCTGCTCCATAAGAAGGCAGCTCACTCGACAATCAATCCTTGTCATAAACAGATGAGTTTACCACGTCTTAGAGGGTCTGCTTTTTCTAAGAATAGGGTTGAGTGGCAGAAGACAGCACAAATAGATCCCATTCACCTCTGATCATCCAGGTGCTAATCATAACTAAGTTTAAGTTATCACAATAAATTATGAGTTAAGAAACTGGAAGTCGTATTTACCACCTCCACTTAAAAAAATTTTCCACAAAAACATGTACTAAGACAAAGGCTCTAGCAAGTTCTAGTTAAGTGAGAAAACAGCTCATCGACACTTTTCCTTAGCTTTGAATAAGGCAAATACAATTTCTCCAAAAAATGGTCATGAGCGGTCACCTGCCAGCCGTACTCCAAAAGTGATCGCTTTTTCTTTTTTGGCTACCTAAGAACAATTCAAAGATTAGATGGTTTTAATGATGGCATGTAAGAAAGTTATTATGAGGACTATGCAGAGCCATGTTAAAACATCAAGATATCTTTCTGGTAATTTTAAATAATATGCATTTCATGCAATGATGTTGGATCTGAATTGGTAACATCAGTAAAAACTGAGTTCCAGTAGTAATAAGCACTCCTATAGCCGGAACTTGGCTTCTAAATACCTTCCTCACAAAAAGGGAAGTGGGACTTCTTGGGAGAAATGGACAATTCCAGGTCTGCGTAAGACTGGAACATCTCAGGCCAAAAAGAAGGTACGCCAGGCAGTACGGGAACTTGCAAAGAGCACAAAGGTGCCTGATCTGGGATAATCCGAGTGTGTGTGCTCAGTCACTTAGGCGTGTCTAACTCTGAGACCCCATGGACCGTAGCCCACCAGGCTCCTCTGTCCATGGGGATTCTCCAGGCAAGAATACTGGAGTGGGTTGCCATGTCCTTCTCCAGGGGATCTTCCCAAACCAGGGATTGAACCCAGGTCTCTTGCATTGCAGGTGGATTCTTTACCATTTGAGCCACCAGCAATTCCACTTCTGGGCATACATCCGAAGGAAAGAAAATCAGTATCCTAAAGAGACATCTGTTCTCCCGTGTGCAGTGTAGCATTATTCACAGTCGCCAAGGTACGGAAACAATCGAGGTGTCCATCCGTAGATGAAGGGTAAGGAGAATGTGGTGTGTCTATATGATGGACTGTGATTCAGCTTTTAAAAACAAAGGGAATTCTGTCATTTGCAACAGCACGGATGGAACTGTAGGGCATTATGCCAAGTGAAATGAGCAGACAGACAGAGACAAACACTGCGTGCTATCACGTACATGTCAGATCTCAAGACTAAACAGTCACACTCTAGAAACAGAATAGAGAAGTAGCTGTCAGAGGCCGGAGGCCAGGGGAAATAGGAGGAGGCTGGTAAAAGGTTTAGACTTCCGGCTGTAAGACAAATAAGCACTGAGGATCTAAAGTATAATGTGGAGAGTATACTTGATAACACTGTCTTGTTTAACTGAAACTTGTTAAGCAAGTAGAACGTATGTTCTCACACAAACAAAGAAGTAAATACGTAAGGTGACAGAGCTATTAACTAACTCAGTTGGGGAAATCCTCCCACAGTGTGTGCGTGTGTGTGTGTATATATATCAAATCATGCTGCACACGTTACTTTATAATTTTGCCAATTATACCTCAATAAAGTTAAAAATACATACACATATGTCACAAGCACAAAAAGCTTGTTTTCTGGTAACTATATTACTTTGAAATTCTTAATATGATAGTAACCATTATATGTACCTTAGGAGTCTACTAAAATGAAGAACTAGATCTTATAAAAAAGCAAATAAAAAATCTATTAATACATAATTAATAAAGGAAAAAACCCATAATAATCATTAGGTACTTTTTTGATTAAATTTCAACAAGTTTTATTCATGGTTTAATGATCAACTCACTGTGACTTTAAGAACATAAGCTCACTGATTTTTTATTTTTCCATGTGTAATTTTGTGAGACCCAGATAATAACAGTAAAACACCCACCTGCCCAGTCAGTTGATCAACCAATGCATATGATCGGTAGCTACTCACCTGAATTCAACCACGATCCTCCTCTGGGGGAGGCCAGAAAAAAGTTCACTTTTTAATCCATATTTTGAGCCATCTTCAATCACCTGTTGCAGTACAGTCTAAAGAGTAAAAGGTATGGGATTTAATGATACAGAAAAATTGCAATTTTCTTAATTACTTTGTTACTGCGAACTAATTCTTGCTAATTTTCTCATTCTAATTTACGGAGCTGAGAAGTTTACAGCAGTTAGCAGCACTGCCTCCTTTGATCGCTAATGCTAATCAGAGCAGTCATGACACAAGTTAACATCTGTGGGGCCTCTGTGCCCTGTTATACATCATGTCTATTCATCCTTACAGCAGCCAATGATGTAGGTAGTTTACAGATGGAGAAACTGAAGCTTAGAGGGATAACTGCCAAAAGTTATCCCATAGCAAATAGCAACAATAAAACCAGAAGCAGCATCTAATATTTATTGAATGCAGATTACAAGCCAGGCACTGTACTAAACATTTTATATGTATTATATATATCACTCCTCACAACTACCCTGAAATGAGTATTACTTTTACAAGCGAGGAAACAGAAGCTCAGACTGGTTTAGTAACTTTCCCTAGGTCACAGTGCAAACCTTTGCTCACTCCACAGCTCAAGTGTTAACTCGGCATGCTGCTGCTACTTCTGTGATACTGATGACCGCAGTAACGGCAGAAAACAAATAAAAAATCGTAACTCAAGTGCCTCCTGGCCAAATAAGAAATGAGGCAATACCACAGAAACTGTGAAAACATATTCCAGGTTAGTTTTTAGTTATTAACCATAGAATTACTATATAGGTCACAAAATTCATACTTTATTTTTTGCTAAGGGTGATGATGCATTTATTCATTATTTATTTTTTTATTGTAGGATTTTGAAATGACTGATAGATTTTTACTTACTCTTATACTGATTTTGTTCCACAAACAGGATTTTAAGTCCTAAAAATGTAGTTTCTGACATGAAGAATTCTATCATTAGGGCTGGTTAAGACAGTCACTAAATCGAAAAGGCAGAAAGGCAGTAGGAGGCAACAAAGCAACACTTTTAAGAAGCCTCTATAGAGTGCTAGGCTCAAGTCTAGAAGCTTCTGTTATCTTTAAGCCTTACAATCTTAAAATGGGCCACATATCCCATTTAACTGATGCAAGAGCTAGGTTCAGAAGTTAAGGTTCAGACACAGAGAAAACCCTTCACTGACACTGCGTTAAGCCACACAGAGAAAGGATTACACAGACATTAAATACAGTACTGTCTACAGTACACGAGGGACCCATTCAATGTTTGTCACTCCAAGAACAGGGGTCACAAGAAGGCTGCAAGTAGGGCGGTAAATGTTACAGGTAACTCATACTGGGACCACTCAGAGGTTGAGGCTTGTCCATCCTTTTCACCTTCTACCCCTTTTTATGTAAGGGATGGCAGACTCCAAAAAGGTACTGGCAGTTACAATTCTCTTTTAAGAAATGACTCTTGAATAAATGACTCTGGCATAAACAAACAAACAAAAAAAACCTTTAAGACTACCTTACGTGCTTTGCTTCCAAAGCATTCACTGACAATTCAACCCACCTGCTAACTATATATAGTTTCTTTCTCTACTGCTTCACTGAAGGTGTTCTCAAAATCAGTATTTTAAATGCCAATCCAGCTGAATACTTAAGTTGTGTTTATTATTTTTATCAATTCATTTTTTGTAAAATTAAAAAAATTAAACAAATTAAGACAAGGCGAAAGTCTGCTCTAACCCTCACCCCTGTCTGCCTTCCCCAGGGGTAACCACTTTTAAGCATCAATTTGGTGGGTGACGACTCCCTTCGCCTTGAAACTACCCCTCCTTCCTTGGTTGCAGTGACATCACTCTACTGACTTTTGCTTTCCTTTGCAGATCCCTCTTTCAATGCCCACCCCGATTCCCTTGCTGCACTCTTTTCTCACTTCTAGCTCCTTACTTACACTTCTCCTAGGTGTAAAGTCCTAAGACTTCATCACTTACCTACCAGAATCTTGTGCTACAGGTTGATCTACACAACTCAGGACTCAGCATGTCTCTCAGGCACTTCAAACAGAACATACTCCCCTTCTTTTTACATTCTTCATTTCTACAAACTTCACTCTGAACCCTCCAGCTGACCAAGTCAGGGACCTGGGAGTTCCTGAGATCTGCCTTTTCCCTCAACCTCCAGAGTCAGTCATCTGTTAATCACCAAGCTCTGTACGTGCCGTCTCCTATGCATCACTCTAGTTCCCTCCTCTGGTTTAGACCCTCATCATCTGTCAGCGACACCGCTACAAAAACTAGAACAGAAAAGTCATGCCTATATGATATAATACACGTATCTAATCAGGTCTATGGGCTTTCCTAGTGGCTCAGTGACAGAGAACCTGACTGCCAACACAGGAGACACAGGTCCGATCCCTGGGTTGGGAAGAGCCCCTGGAGAAGGAAATGGCAATCCACTCCAGTGTTCGTGCCTGGGAAATCCCAAGGACGGAGGAGCCGGGTGGGCTAAAGGCCACGGGGTCACAGAAGAGTCGGACATGATTTACTTTCTTTTTCAAGGTTTCAATGATTTCTTACCACTTAAGTGACTTTACAGTTTCTGGTTTGATTTTTACATGCATATCATTTTTACTTTTTTAATTTTGAGGAAATTGGTTTGTTGAAAAGCACACTGTAATACTGATAAAAATCACAAGTTAGAAGTGTTGTTTTATAGTAAGAGATAATATATAATGATTAAAATCAAAGAATCACCACAGGTGCCACCTGTGACACACATAACACACTGCGGAAACGACGACAGAGGAAAGGCTGTAACTGTTGGCGGAGCACGTGAGGCCCTTCCCACCGTGTAATTTCATATCCTCCCTAGGCCATCCAACGTACAAATCAGACTCAGTCACCTCCTGACTTCTAGACAATGCCATATTCTTACTTGTACCCTGGCCCAACTGTCCCCTCTGCCTGGAATGCCTGCCCTCGTATCTCCCAAGGATATTCTTTATTTTCATCCTAATTCAAGGTTATCTTTTGCCTCCTCAAGACAGATTTACTTTGATGGAGTGAAGGAAAAAAAGAAGAGATTTATGTGCTTCTTTCTTTATACTGGGATTGCATCTTATACATGCCTTCATTATATGGTTCATCCCAGTGTCTAGCCATTACATATTACATTGTGATTTTTTTAATGCTTTTCTTTCTTTGAGGCCAGGACACATGCCATTTTGTCTCTAGATTTCAGTAATATAGTCCCTGGCAAATAATAAGCAAGGAGTTTATTGAATTAGAGGGCACAAAGAAGAATGTCAGAGAGCTAGTAAAGTTCCCTGATATTACAAAAGAGAAATAAGTTAGGGGCCATTTATTCTCCAATATTTATGTTTAAAGGTAAGATATACTTGGTAATGTAAAAGCAGGTACATAAAGAACTTAACAGAAATTAAATCTTTCAAAAGTTTCACTTTTTGGAATGCTTTAGCCAATTAATGACTATTCCAATTGGCTGGTACTTTCTGTTTACCTACCACCATTCCATTTTCTGTAGATGGATTTTGCCATTTTATTGAATTCTTTATTGGTCAGTATTTCTCTACAACTTTCAACAGAACTTCTAATGAAGTTAGAATGCTTGAATGACAGATCAGTTCCTTAGTAGCGGAAACGTGTGTTCCGCTTTCCATGTGTTCAACATATTCTTTCCATGTGTTCAACTGACACTACACATGACTTGAATGTAACCACTGCCTATTGACATAAACTCAATTAGTGAAATAATGAGCAAAGTTAGAAACACTTAAATGAGTCTTTTTTTTCTTTTCCTTAAGTTTTGGAAGAGCATGCACAGTTGAATCTGGCAAACAAAACTGCATGTAAGTGAAATAAAAAATGAGGTTATTCATTGTTTATTTCTAAGGCACACCAAAAAAATCCAAAAAACAAAAACAGGATTTTGTTTGCTTTTCCCCTATGTGGTTAAACTCATTTTCTGTTTTTCCCTCCCTGTAAACTGAATTAACTATTAATTGAAGCTGCAGTTGCTTCTGAAAGTCATCTCTGAAAAGTGAAAGTGAAAGCTTCTCAGCCACGTCTGACTCTCTGTGACCCTACAGGGTACACAGTCCATGGGATTCTCCAGGCTGGAACACTGGAGTGGGTAGCCTTCCCTTCTGCAGGGGATCTTCCCAACCCAGGGATCAAAGCCAGGGGTCCCACGCTGCAGGCAGATTCTTTCACCAGCTGAGCCACCAGGGAAACCCAGAATACTGGAGTGGGGAGCCTATCCTTTCTCCAGGGGATCTTCCCCACTCAGGAATTGAACCAGGGTCTCCCGCATTGCAGGCACAGTCTTTACCAACTGAGCTATCAGGGAAGCCCAGGAACAAATCTGGTGCCAAAGTGAGAGCTCTTCACAGTGATAAGTTCCTCCAGCCCCCAAAAATGTATTATCTAGTCCCAGAGATGTGGCAGTTCGCAGTGCTTTTAATTTCATATTTTAGCCTCCTACCTTTGAGGATGATTTATATGAAGAGAGTATAAACTGCTATTAGTGTTCCAAACCTAAGCTAACATTTAATCACCCCAATTCTGCCAGTATAAATAACTCAATTGCAATGCATGAACAGATACATTTTATGCAAGGCTAAATTTGTACATGTGTAAGCAATGACAAACTCCTAATTCTCTGCTTGATGATTAAGTTTTGGACATAGATCACTGGCTACATGTTAATCTTGATGACTTCAAAGTGGAAAAAAAGTTTTATAATGGTCCTGAGAGGGTTGAATTTTCTTTTCAATGTGATCTGGAAACTTGAGACTCACAAATGAATATTGTTTAAGGCCCCAAAATAATGGCGCCAAGTGTAGAAGAAATTAGGCTTTGAGCAGATAAGAATTATTAAATCATAACTTATAACAGGTACAATGCTTAACATTCCTTTCTCAAACTATGGGTGCTGCTCTAGATGTACCTTTACTGTGACACTGGGCAGGGCTGCTGTAAGCAATCTGCTTGTCCTTTAATGAAAATCACGTTATTATCCAGAGCCTCAAAGTTGTTACAATGAAGGGAGGGTTTCCACATGAGGAAGAGCAGCTGGACCTCAAAGCTCTCACTCTTTCCCCGCATTGTCAACTGAGAGGGATTTGTGAATATTTTTAATAAGTGAGCTAGTGGGCACCCTTATACCACAGGAAAACCTCATAATTAATTGTAATAAAGCATGAAAACTCACGACCATTGAAATTTTAAATTATTAATAAAATATATGCCTTGCCTCAAAATATAAACCACATCTCCTTCAGCTAAGCTGGCTATAGAGACAAACTTCATCTACCATAGCACATTTTCCCATCTCAGGGAAAACAAAAAAGGTAAAATATTGGCGTCTATCAAGGGGCCTAAAATTTGAAAGGCACACTGGTGAGTTGCCTTTCTCCTTCTACAAACATTGAGACAGCAACTGGGAAGAAAGAGTCATTTATTTCAAAATGGGACATTAGATTCACTGGTTTGCTAAGTTGACAAGAAATGTTATCAAGAGCCTAACAAGATAGAGACACTTTTTAACAAGCTCAAAACAAACTTCCTTCTTGTCCCTGTGACATATTTTAGTTTAACAAGTTTAATCTTCAAATAACAGTGGGAAAAAAGATAAAAGAAAAAAGTTCAAAGATCTAAAGACAAGCATGAAACACTAACTCTTTCAGAAGAATTATAGGGCTGATGGGTAAATATCTGTAAACTACATAACCTTGGTAAGAAACTATATTAGAAGTTTTGGTTTTATCCTTATTTGCAATTAAAGACCACAGTATATACAAAGCCTGACCTACCCAACAATGGTGTTTTTTTTTTTTTTAAATAATAGACCAAGCAATGCATTATGATAAATTTTAAAGTTCAACTGAGATAAAACTCAAAGGGTCTCACGCCCCTGCTTATCTAGGATTACCCGTCCTCCGCACTCACTCGGCGGAGACCCAGTTCCTCTGTGAGATTTCCCCAGCTCCTTCAGGTCAGCCTATTTCACCGTCTCTGGTCTTTCTTATGCTTACTATACCAATCACTTTAAGCCCTAGTGGAAATTAGAGTNTCCACACTCACTCGGCGGAGACCCAGTTCCTCTGTGAGATTTCCCCAGCTCCTTCAGGTCAGCCTATTTCACCGTCTCTGGTCTTTCTTATGCTTACTATACCAATCACTTTAAGCCCTAGTGGAAATTAGAGTTTAAAGGGCAAAAGGCATTCTTCAAATAAGAAAAATGTAAAACAGCAACTACAGTTAAATTTTGCCAAGGAGGCATATACACGTCAAGAGCGTGTATGAATGAAGGGGTCAGAAAGGCACTGCTAGGGGACATCAAGATGTGCCGGATAAGCAGACTGAACTTGGCGGGTTTCCAGGCGGTGGGATCAGAATGTGCACAACGTCTGAGGCAAGAGGCGGCGGGGCCAGTTTACGAGCCGGAGGGGAAGCACTGCCGCTGAAGCAGGGGAACGGGAGAAGGCGCGCCAGCTGCGCCGCGACCAGTCTTACCTTTGTCAACAGCTCTCTGTTGATTTTGAAATTTACAGTCCCCTGGCCAGTGCTGATTTCACTCACCACTGTGTCACATTTTAGCTGAAAAGATGTAAAGTAAAACAGGTATGTTATAAAGTAGGCCTAGTGAGCTCTGCAGTTCCAATCGTATGGGACTGGCTCCCAAGGACAGCAGGTGTGTCCTCTCTCACAGCCATGTGTCTGGACTTGGGCGGAGCGGGTCTCTCCAGCTCTGTCGTTACATTTGTGTTCACGGTTTCTTCTTTCCCGACTGGGATGCTACTCTGTTCAGAGACTCTCTCTTCCTCTTTCCCATGCTCTCACTCAAATTCTCTAATGTGGAAAAAAGGAGCCATCACTTTACCCCCACTTACGTACTGTGACATGCAACGAGCTCGCTATTTTACCCACCTTTCATAAGAGTGACAGAACGTGATACTCTGTTAGGGCTCCACTAAAACAACTTACACCCCCATAAAGTATGTAAAGAATTTAAATATTTGGTCTTTAATGAACACGCTTTCCATTTCTAACCAGCCAGATGTTCAAAGCAGCCGAGAGACTCATTAAGTTTATTTCAAGAGATACCTGGTGTTACTGAGGAGCCACCAGTTTTCATTTTTGAGAACTCACAGGAGGAGGAGGAAATAAATATTGTAGTTAGAATTTTATTCCTGGCATGCTTCCTGATAAAAATCTGGGGTGAGAGACTGCGGGTCTAACTCCTCGTTGGGGAACTAAGGTCCCGCGTGCAGTGTGGCAAAAAAAGAAAACAAATCTGGGGTGATTTCTGTGGTCACACGAACATCTACTTAGCAACCAGAGCCTCTCTGCCATACTCATTCTCTACACGTTTTCCTGTGAAAGTGACTCTCACTGTTTGGGCTCTTCAGCGTGCCCATGCCTTCCTCAGTATCACATGCAGTAATCCTATTTAAAACAAGACAAAACAACTTTGTCCCAAACCTTCCTTTTCTTTCTGAAGGTATTAAACACTAACAATTCAGATGGTCATTCTCCACAATCCTTTCAATTCCTCTGTTAGATACTGAGCCCATCAGAGAAATTAGAAATGAAAGAGGTTTATTAAATCATCTAACCACTTCTCTGAAATCATGGTTCTATTTACAGCTTATCATTTCTTCTCATATTTTAATGTTCATCTTCTCAGAAACTCATTTTTAAAACTGCAGCCCACTGTTCTAATTTATCAAACTTGTTCTCCTGAATTCAGAAGGCCATCCAGCTTCAATCTATAAATTTAATTAACACTCAGTCTTCCTATAAGTAGTTAATCAAAAAACTGAATACTGTCAGCTCAAGAGGAGTGTTTCATAACTAATTTCAAAAACCATCCTAACCTTATAGTATGCAGCTAAAATAAATTTAAATTATACTTTCCAAGGTGTCTTGAACAAAGAAACACTATTAAATCCATTATTATGGTTGACATAGCCTGCAGAATATTTTTTAATTTAACATGTTTATTATAATGTCAAAAGAGGTAATAGTGCTAAAGTACCTTCTCTGCCAGTCTCATGGCTTGAATTTGAATATCTGGTCTTGAATGGTCATTGCTGTTTTCCAATAGAGAATCCACAGAAAGCTGGAAGTCGGCTACCTCTCTAAAGACAGACGTGAAACAGGAAAAGACTGTTACCTTAAGAACGTTACCAGAGTAAAAACAACAAGAAAGACTAATCACTTTGGGGTTCTCTACACTGACATATTCTTATCAGAAATTACACTTTCAAAATATAAAGCAAAGCAATTAGAAATATCATCACTATGTACTGATTGAATACTTTATCTTATAAAATTCTTCCTCTTCCATCACCCAGCTGTAGCATTATGGTATCTCTGTAAGAGACACACAGCAACCACCTTATTTGACAAATGTGAAAAATGATGTCTGGCAAGTTCATTGTCTCCCCTAAAAGTCTACTGCAACTAACAAACAGTCAGAAAAAAGCTCAAGTCTCTTGACCTCTTCTACAAATTTTCCTCCACTATTTCAAATACTTCCTTCTTTCAAGCCTCTTCACTGACCTTCAGATGACCAAAGCAAAATTTTTAAAAAACAGTGAAATCTGAATTTTAACATGAGAAAAGTATTATTCTTAACACCCAGTAGTTCCTTAAAGAGACAGACATTGCCATTCTTTTCATTGGGTTGGTGATGAAACAATGCAAAAACAAAGAAACCAAGAAAGAAACCAGGCAACTGATTAGTGAAAACAATCATTTGCTGCAAAGAGCAGTTATCTCTAAGGCAGGATGGTATACAGTGGCTTCAACAGCAACTAATGTTTGATGTGTAAAAAACAAAATTTGGAAAAATTAAGACCTGACATGTTAGAAAGTGAACATGAGTATTCATTACATCAGTCGCTATAAATTTTCTATAGTTTGAAATTGTTCAAGGGATAAAAATAATAGACAAACATCCACATAATCACCAACACTGAATGTTTAACAACGCAGTAGAGAACGAGACTCTCTGGGCAGAACAGGTGGCTGGACCACTGTCTGTCTGGCCCATTTCTAGCCCCTCACCTGCTCCTGGGCTTCCCTGGAGGCTCAGCTGGTAAAGAATTCGCCTGCAATGTGGGAGACCTGGGTTCCATCCCTGGGTTGGGACGATCCCCTGGAGAAGGGAATGGCTACCCACTCCAGTATTCTAGCCTGGAGAATTCTAGGGACTGTATAGTCCATGGGGTCGCAAAGAGTCGGACATGACTGTGCGACTTTCACTTCAACACAAAACAGAGGAGCACAAATAACTTCCTTATAATTCTTGAAATCCAGGCACACGTCTAAAAAATTGTGTAACTTCTGATTACATTAAGGAATCTAGTCAATAATAACCATTAAGAATTTTCCTGAGCCTTGAGCAGTGACCAAGGCGGCAGAACACAAGGACCCTGAGCCAACCTCCTTCTGCACACACACAAAAACTGCAACTATTTAACAGAGCAACCACCCGCTGAAGTCACTGGATGACTAGGAGAACAAAACCTGGTGGTCAGACAGTAAAGAATCCGCCCGCAATGCAGGAGATCCAAGTACGATCTCTAGGTTGGGAAGATCCCCTGGAGAAGGAAATGGCTACCCACTCCAGAATTCTTGCTGAGAGAATTCCAAGGACAGAGGAGCCTGGTGGGCTACAGTCCGTGGGGTCGCAAAGGAGTTGGACACGACTGAGCGACGAAGTACAGCTGCGCAACTTGGGACAGAGATACTGACAGCAGTCGATTTAGGGAGCTCATTCCATGAGGATGCTGGTGCTAGTAAGGACCATTCTGAAATTCTCCTTCTAGCTTATTAGTGCTGGGTCCCAGCTTCAGGAACCAGCCAGTCTTCACCAGTTCTGGGGTACTCCAGGCCATGTACATGGCCCCACCCAACAATGGGCTGACAATAGCCAAGGGATCCCCAGGCCGCCACAAGTGCTCATAGGGACCCTCCTTCCTCACTGGGGTGGGCGTCAGCCCTGGGATTCCTGGGCCCTGCAGCAAAAGATATGGTTTAGCCCACTAGGACACAGCCTTACTCAACATAAGGCTAACAGCATCGCCAGGACACCCTGGGCTCCTCAGCCAGCCAGGTCAGGACATGGCCACACTCAGCAGTGGGCGATCGCCAGCCTTGGGTCACTTTGACCCTGCCCTCCAGGAGGCCACCACCAGCCCCAGGACTATTCCAGGCCGTGGCCCTGTTCATGAGCAGGCTAACACTGGCTCTGGGACGGCAGGCCCTGCAGCTAGCCACCCTAGGAGTTAGCTCCCTAAAAGATGCAGCTCTAGTTTCAGGATCCCTGGGGCCCTGGAGCCAGTTGTCTTGTGACCCAGCCCTACCCATCTGCTGGCCTGTACCAGGCCCTAGGGTGCCCTGGCCACACAGCCAGCCACCTCAGGACCCAGCCCTGCTGACCAGCTTGTCAGCATCAATAATGGGACACATCAGGCCAAGTGCATCTCTGGGCAGGGACACAGCCCCACCTAGCTGAAGGTCAGGTATCTCAGGACCTCCAGAGTCCCAAGCTTCCCTGGGACTTGGTCCTGCCCGCCAGAGGGACCAGGCACCCTCCACCCCCCCGGCCATTGTTGGCCTTCTTTTTGGCCCTTCGGGTTTCCTTTAACGCCGTTCCCCCCCCCCGTTGGGTTGCCCCCTTGGGCCCCTTGGGGGGGCCTTGCAGCTACAGACTCCAGGACCCGGCTCTGCCACCAAGGGGCCAACACTAGCCCTTGGACCCACTGGGGCTCTGTAGCCAATTGACTTCAACCAACCATGGGTCATGAAGTACCGCGGTTCATGCTAGCTGGAAAAAAAGCCACATACAGCTGCACCCATGCAGTTCAAACCTACGCTGTTCAAGGATCAACTACATAATTCAGAGAATTAGACTACCTGAACAAACAGATTCATATCATGTTAAATAAACCACATGAACAAAAACAGTATCTCTTAATTTTCCTGGCATGTTATAGCACTTTAGAAATACAGGACAGTTGGGCTTTGTTTCAGTACTCTAAAGGGTAACTGGTATTATGAAGACAAACAGTACCAATTCCTTTATTTTAAACAAATTCAATATGCAGAATTTTCAACTGGTAGACCAGAGAAATTGAGGTCTTCCTCATTATTTATTTTCTATAAAACAAAGTCTTAGTATTTCAGATTGCTAAAGTGGAACTGCCCAAAGGAACTCAAACCAAGTATAGAAAATCTTATTCAAAAGAGGGGCCAAGACAACAGGCAAGCGAAGAGACGCACAGCATCACTAGTTCCTAGGAAAATGTGAATCAGAATGAGGTATCACCTCACATCAGAACAGGTACTGTCAAAAAAGTAAGAAACAACAAGTGCTGACAAGAATGTGGAGAGAAAGGGACACTCAGACACTGCTGGTGGGAATGTAGATCGGTACAGCCGCTACGGAGATTCCTCAAGAAGACCAGAACGACCATATGACCCAGCAACTTCTGGGTATTTATCCAAAGAATGTGAAAACACTAATTTGAAAAGATACAAGCACCCATATGTTTACTGCAGCATTATTTATAACAGCCAAGGCATAAAACAAACCAGTGCCCCAAAATGAATTGATACAGAAGATGTACACACACATGAACAATGGAATGCTACTCGGCTTCAGAAAAAGATGGGATCTTGCCACTTGGGACAATGTGGATGGACCTTGAGGATATTATGCTAAATGAAGTCAGTCCGACCGAGAAAGAAAAATACCATATGATTGTGCCCACGTGTGGAGTATAAAGAACAAAAAATAAGTGAACAAATCAAATCAAACATGCGGATACAGAGTTCTAGTTACTAGAGCGGAAGGGGTGGTGGGGAGAATTAAATGGGTAAAGGGGATCAGCTGTATGATGACAGATGGAACATTAAATTTTTGGTGGTGACATAGCATGCTATACTGTATAGAGAATACTGTCTATGTGAAATATAAATACTGTTACCTCATTTAAAAAAAAAACAAGACACAAAAGATGGGTCAAGACAGTTCAGCTTACTAAAGGTCTTTGAAACATAAAATAAAAACTGAGACATTTCCATGATTATGCAAAATGCCCTGTACAGATTCATAAAGTAGGTAACTGTTGGCAACACTCTTATCAGTTTACATATAAGGCCCATCTTTTGGTCAGTGGTTTCCTCTATTCTTGGAACTCAATGCAGATGAAGTTGTAACAGGCTATTTTAAAGATGCTCTTTTACAAGACCATATGTAGCCTTTCTCTTTCTTTTCCACTTATCCATTTGTCCTATTCTGGGAAAAAGAACATTCATTCTACTTTGTCTTAAAATCCTAACAAAGTTAAGGGGACAAATATTTAAGGACATGATGGAACAGTAATAATGGTATCATTATATCATAACAGTATAATGAGAATTTAAACTTAAAGCATTAAGCCTACTATGCAGCTAATTTCTTGTCATTATTAATTAACTGAGAGAGTATTTTATTCAAGTATTGAAATTTTCTAGTCAGCTGGTAAACAAAGCATCAATGAGCATGACCAAACTCACAAAACAGATCTCTCTGAATCCAAGTAGCAACTATATAGATTATATGTAGCCCTAGCCAGCAGTCCTCTATCGCTGGGGGGGTCCTCAAATGGAAACAAGCAGAAAAACTAAAACCACAAAAAAAATCACCAAAAATCTAGCAGTAAACATGGTACAAGAGCATTCAGGCATTAGATAGTGTTTAATCTCTAACATCTCTTCAAAAACTCTCATTTTCTAACTGGAATCTTAGTTCTTTTATTTGCTGTTACAGAATTAAATCAAGCCTCACTTCAAATTTCTCAAAGATTGCCACAGAGTTATTACACTAAACATCAAAACAACATGAGAATATTAATATAATCTGCCATTTCAGAGTATTAAAGTACAGAAGTTTTATTATTTAAAGCCATGGAGTAACATATTAAATCATGTATTAAGAATAATTTCAAGGACTATTTTGTAAACTGGAGAGTAACTGCATTTTTTGGTTAACTGACAAAATCAATCACATTCTAGATCATTACAAATATATTATACTTAACTCTTTTCTGGAAATTGGAACTGCAGATATTGACTTGATCAAGTTTTCTGGTGGAAGATCCAACACTCTGGACAGCTAGAAATCAAACAAAAAGAACAAAACAGAGCAAGACTTAACATACTTGTTCCAGATTAACAGAATGCTACTCAACAATTTAAAAAATGCTGAACCACAACACAAACGAGCTTCAAATGTACATTGTTACGTGACAAGCACCAGATTCAAAAGACTGTATAATTTACGATTCAACTTATTAGACATTCTGGAAAGCCCCAAACTCTAAGACTGAAGATTCGATCAGTGGTCGCCAAGAGTTGAGGATGACCATGACCATGGCTGAGGTCAAACCATGCCAGGGTTTGACCATATATTGGCAAACAGAACTGTTTACTAAAAAGGATGAATTTCATATTTGTAAATTTAGAAAACGTTTCTTCTAAGAGTAGGGATAAACCACTGAGGACCAAAGATAATTTGCCTTTTATTCATTCATAAAGTCTTTTTGTGCTAGACACTGTTTTAGGAGTTGTGGATACAGCAGTGAACAAAAGACAAAAATCTCATGCTACTTAAAGGAGCAAACAAATAAACAATGTGGGGGCGGGAACCTGACCCCCAGGCTCTACCAAGTTGACTCGCTTGCATTTTTGAGCAGCTCACTGATGACTGTAACAGTCACAGCTGTGAACTATTGCCCTCATCAGAAGCTCGAAGTTTGTTGGAGGAGACATTCCTACTTACTGAATGATTCTCACATGACGGGATTTCTTACATGCCTAGTTTTTCTCCGAAACAATCCCATGGATCACTATTGGAGACTTCACTTCATGAGTGATGAAACTGAAGTCCAGAGAATTTATGTAATTCGCTTAGCACCAACGCAGAGATGTGAACACAAGTTATCTTATAAGCGGAACCTACATCTAATCCCTATGTCATATCTATATCCTTTCAACGAGAAATGCATGAAAAGAGAACAGTGAAACAGCAGCACAGTCATAAAGGATTTAAACCTGTCCTCGCCTCTCTCCCCTGACCCTCAGCTTGATGCAGCCTCTGCAGTGGGCCTAGGCAGAGCTGGTGAGAGAAGGGAATGGGGACAATGGGGTGAATAAAAACAGAACGTTGGAAGAGATTAAGAAGCAATCTTAATCCTCTTCAGAGGCGTTTGTAAGTGTTCAGAAGGAGAGGAGTAAAACTAAAGCCGCTACCCTCATTGTGAATAATAATATCTATCCTCTTAATATCAAAAGAAATTGGTAAATTTCATAAACTTAAAAAAAGGTTAAAACTTGCAGACCTGGAGCCATCATTATGTTTAAGATACTCTGTATTTCTACTTAGACCTAGCATATGCTGATTCTTTAAGTTTAAATCTCAAAGTGCAGTCTTTATTTTTAAATTCTAGCCTTTAGGAACTGAATTACTGTATACTTCACAAAAAAGGCTTTTTTTCTTAAGACACTTGCCCAGAAGTGGATAAACAGTTCTAAAGCATTTACCAAATAAAGACTGTAATAGTTCATGTTTATACTGCAAAATGTTCCTGCCAGTACAGCTACATCAATAATAAAGGGTCCACTTTTACTATCTATGAGTCCTTGAGAAAGTCATTTTACATCAATGAACTTAAGTTTTCCTATCTGAAAAGTGGAGGTAACAAATCTGTTAATAATCAACTAGGGATTTCATGAGGACTAACAAAATTGTGTCACATAACAAGCATGTAATAAATATTATTTCCTTCTTCCTTTGAAGGGTTTTATTTTGGCCATGTCTTTCAAACTTACCCATAGCAATAAGATCTTCTGCCTATTCTTCTATTACATTTTTGCCTATTTTAAATATATCTAAACTCTGCTGAAAAATAAAAGACTGTCACTCACCATGCAGTTATACACAAATTAAGTCATTAGCCACTGTAGTTGCTGACCAATAATACACCCAACAAAAGACAGAATGAGGCACTCTGTGCTTTGGAAAAACAGGCCCCTTAGAAAGAATTTTAATAAATCCAGATTCTTGAATCTTCCCATATCTGAAGAAGCACTGAAATAAGTAACTGAGACATTTGTTCCTTGTGATTAGCTGCAATCTCTTACTGAGATGTAAGCTTGACTGTGCGCACTCCCTAGCCAACAACCGTGATTCAGCTGGCTTCTCTTCCTGCCTCTTTGGAGCAGTTCACTCAGAGCTGCGAAGCGGCTGTCTCCCTGGCTACAGCCATCAGCAAGGTCTCTGAGTAAAACTGAAACTCACACAGCGGACTGCTACTCAGCCATAGAAAGAATAAAGCCATCTGCAGCAACATGGATGAAACCAGAATTGATCATAAGTGAGGTAAGTCAAAGAGAAAGACAAATACCATATGACAGCACTTACATGTGGCATCTCCAGGAGATGGTGAAGGACAGGGAAACCTGGTGTGCTGCAGTTCATGGGGTCGCAAAGAGCTGGACATGACTGAGCGACTGAACAACAAACATGTGGAATCTAAAAATATGACACAAATGAACTTATCTACAATACAGAAAGAGATTCATGGACAAACAGAACAGACTTGTGGAGGAGGGGGGAGTGGGAGGCTGGAGTTAGTAGATGTAAGCTATTATATATGGAATGGATAAATATCATCTTACTGGATAGCATAGGAAACTATTGACATTGTCAGCATCCTATGATAAACCATCATGGAAAACATAGGAAAATGTATATACATGTATAACTGAGTCACTCTGATGTACAGCAGAAATTAAACAGTAAATCAGCTGTACTTCAACAACAAACACTATTAAAACACAAGGTGAATTTGGCTATGTGTTGTTGTTCAGTTGCTAAGTCGTGTCCGACTCTGCGACCCCATGGACTGCAGCACGCTAGGCTTTCCTGTCCTTCACTGTCTCCCAGAGCTTGCTCAAACTCATGTCCACAGAGTCAGCGATGCCATCCAACCATTTCATCCTCTGTTGCCTGCCATGTGTATTTTCCCACAATTAAAACCCAAACGACAGACTTTGGGATTAAGAAGTAGAAAGAAGTCTTCTTTAATCAACTCCCATTTCCTACCCATTAACAAATTAAAATGAAAAGGAAGAAAGAAGAGGAGAAAGGAGGGAAGGTTAGAGGTTGGCTGGTTCTCCAGCAACAAATACACATGACAGGCGTGGCCCAAAGTTATAAACTTCAAGGATGGAAACCAAGGAAAGATACAGCAGATTCTGAGAAGAAATAGAGCAGCCCAGTTTGGCAAGGCTCCTAAATTGAATTAACACTTTCATGAATACACCAAATCCAGAGAGAAAACATGGAATTCTGTTTTCTTCCCATCTATGACTGATAGATGCCGCAGATCTGCAGGTGAAAACGGGTAAAACAGAGACACAATCGAGGACACTTCCCAGCAGAAGTGAAGGTTCCAGGGCCAGACTCTGAGGGCCTCCACGATGCAAACATAATGTACTCCCCAGTCACAGGGAGTAAATCCTGATACTGTGTTGCATGGGCAGGAAGAGGCATAGGGGAAGTTTTGATAGGAAGATGGAAAAATGTCAGAACTGGCAGCAAAAATATGCCACATCAGAGTTCAGGAGTACTGCTTACGGGTCCCCACGACCTCCTGGAGAGACAAGAGGAGTGGAAAGCTGCAGAGTGTATGTTTTGTAACCACGAAAGTGAGCTGAGCCAAGAATAATGCTGGCACAGACAGTAAGGACGTTGCCCACACAATGCGGAAGCAAATGCAAAGTCTGGGCAGAGCTGTCGAGCACTAGGAAGATGGAAAAGAACAGGCATGAAAAACAGACAAACTGAAAGCAAGCTGGATAAGGAGAGAACGGGCAGGGGCTGCAAGAAAAAGAAAAAAGACAGAAAGAAAGGAATGTGGCATACAGGAGATCAAAGAACTCTAGAAGAAAAATACAAGTTAGTACAGAGACATTCTTCACAAAGGCTTCAAGATGTCTGAATAAGAACTAAACGACTGAAACACAGTGAAATAAAAAGGGAGTCTGCTGATCAAACAGTATAGAATAATTAAACACAAAGGAAGAGTGTAGTCAGAAGTGAAAAAAGAACATAAAAGGGCTAAGATAATCAGAATATACATTTTAAAAAACATAAAGCAATCCGACAAAGGTACATAAAATTGGGTACAAGGTAACTCAACTTCAGGTAACTGGTGTCCCTAAAACGAGAGACGGCCAATGGGAATGCTGTAGGACTTAGGGACTCAACCTGGGACTCTGCAACGACTCAGAGGCGGGGGAAGGTTAAAGGGGAAGGCACAAATGTCACCTACGGCTAGTTCATGCTGATGGACGGCAGAAATCAAACCAGTGCTGTAAAGCAATCACCCTTCAATTAAAAATTAAACAAAACGAAACACAGCAGCCAAGCAGCAAGTGGACAGGAAGAAGAGGTGCAACGGCTCCGCAGCTGCAGTGAGTCTAGAGGCAAACCCACGCTCCAGCGTGTCAGGGAGAGATGCAAAAGACTCTCAAGCAGAATGGAGCAGTCTTATTTAGCAGGCCTCCTACCTTACTCTTATTTACCAGCACTCACAGAAATGAATGAACAAAACCTAAGAAAAATAGAAAGTACTCATAGATATATCATGGCTGCCCCAGAAGCAGGGCCTGGGAAAAGGACTGCATGCAGGCAGTTTATCTGGGAAGTGATTCTGAGGGCAGAAGTGATATATTGGGGAGAGTGAGAGACGAGAAAAAGTAAATATAAGATAGTGCTATCAAGGGCACTGATACGGGCAATAGGGGCTTAGTTTCTATCTCACTTTTGCGTACAATGTATACCGAAAGTGTCGACGCAAAAGCAGGGAGCAGGAGCCTCCATCCCTCAGTGGCTGAGCCGGGTCTTTGAGACTGTTCACTCCACTCCACCTGAGCGGAGTCTGTGTTGGCAGCAGGCTTTTCGACAGGATGAAGTGCTGTCAACGGTAAGTAAATGGAAGCACATGTTCACATCAGCGACAGCTAGAATCAGGCGTGACCTAGGTAACAGGGCATAATTGTCAATAAAAGGGAGAGCATCCCTGAAATAAAGAACTAAATCTAAACTGT